TCCTAGCAAATATGATATGCAACAAGATACATATGCAAAGATATGAAACTAAGAGCAAATAAACTATAAACAAGATAGTGGGCAATATAAATAATGAGTAATAGACAAAGGCGATAATGAACAATAAGCACAAACAAAACGCCAAGACAAACTCAAACACACGATATGATCATGGAGTTCAGTCAACCACTTGACCTACGTCTCCACTCCTCACCTCGAGGAGATCCCCACTATCATAATCGGTTTTTCGACGCTCACCTGAAAAGCGTTTACACCTCATAATATTGGTTTTCAACGCTCACCAATCAACGTTCACAATCACTCACAATGTAACTACACAAACCCCACCTCAAGTGTTGGCCTCTCACATGTCTCCCTCAAGTGCTCAGAATTACGACCTACCTCTAGGCTTTACCACTGACCCCACTCTCCTCTTGGGACTGACCATGTCTCTCACCTCTACACTCCTCTTGGTATATTTATGCAATATAATGTAACCTCACAATTAAGCTCTACAACAAATGATTGTTCTCTAAACAATGTGAGAACTCAATTAAGCCCAACTCAATTTTACAATCTCACAACCTGAAATATGCTATGTATGAAAATACTAAAAGCTCAATGGGTTGTGTGTGAACAATGAGTATAATCAAAACAAACTAAACTCAAAGTAAATCTAGCTTATGAAAATTATGATCAAAATAATAAATAGCTAGAATGAGTTTAGGAAAACTTCTCTAATGATGACAAGAAAGAGAGAGAGAGAGAGAGAGAGAGAGATGAGTTGAATGCACAAACACCAAAGAATGATCTCCTCAAGCTCTTGTGAAAATTTCTTCACAAACAAACTCTTAAACAAACTTAAAAACCATTAAACAAACTTGGTAAAACTCTTTTAAAACTTTTCTCTTATGTTAGTCAGGTCTGTGGTATGAGGGGTATATATAAGATACCCCAAAGCCAAGAAGAAACCAAGAAAACCCAACAAAAAGACAAAAAATAAAAAGATGGAAAAACTAACCGTTGGGTCGTCAGTCGACTGATACTGTTCATCAGTTGACTGATGAGCTGACCGTTAGAGTCAGCCCAACACCTCATCGGTCGACTGATGATCTCATCAGTCGACTGATGACCTCAATAGTCGACTGATAGCTTATTAGTCATAAAAATAGAAACTTTTACAATTTCAGGCGAGTTCATTAGTCGAATGATAAACTCTATCAGTCGACTGATAACAAGTTATCAGCCTGATTAAAACAGTAAATCTAATTTTTAGAGTACATTTAAAAATAGCAAATAAATTCAAAAAATTATAAAACTTTTTAAAATAATTATAAACATGATAATAAATATGTTACAAAAAGAATTTTTGGAATTGCACTTCACATTTGTGAAAATCATCATTTTGAAATTGTACTTCACATTTGTGAAAAATCATCATTTTGTAAAAATATTCAAAACATGAAAAGTTGATAGACATGAAATTTGATGTTTTGACATAAATCAAGTTTTAAAACTTTGTAAAATGATTTTATAGACTTAATAAAATATGTATATAATGATTGTTAAGTCCATAAACTAATAACTCAATATTTTTCCAAATACAATAGAATATGAAACAAGTAAATGTGTATATGAATATATATCTGTTTCATATCTACATAACTAAACCAAAACAACTTAACCATATGAAAACAAACATGTATATATATAAATATGTATTTGTTTTATATTTAAACTTGAAAACCAAAAAACCAAAATGTGTGTGTGTGTGTGTGTACATAGAAACCAATAAAATGTGTGTGTATATGATATTAAGGTTTAAAGTATC